CACCAGTCATTTTTGTTATTTTTGGTATTTAGCTTAACTTGATTTCTCCTTTGGTTGTTTTTTCCTTTACTGTAGTTCTTTCCTTTGCAGATTTTCATTATTGTTTTTCATTTCCTCCTCCTGGAATATTTTGCCAAGAATGTTCTGAAGTGCAGAGTTTCTTGCTGTAAATTCTTTTAGCTTTTGTTTATCATGGAAGGTTTTTATTTCATTGTCAAATTTGAAGCTTAATTTTTCTGGATATAAGATTCTTGGTTGGCATCGATTATCTTTTAGAGCTTGGTATATGTTGTTCCAGGATCTCCTGGTTTTGACAGTCTGGGTTAAAAAAATCTGCTGAGATCGAAATTGGTCTTCCCTTATAGGTAATCTGATTTTTCTTTCTTGTAGCATTTAAAAATCTATTCTTATTCTGTATGCTAGGCATTTTCATTATAATGTGTCTTTGTGTAGATCTGTTGTAATTTTATACATTTGATGTCCTGTAGGCTGCTTATATTTGATTTTCCAGTTCATTCTTTATGCTTGGGAAATTTTCTGATATTATTTCATTGAAGAGATTGTGCATTCCTTTGGTTTGAATCTCTGAACCTTTCTCTATTCCAATAAATCTTAAATTTGGTCTTTTGATGGTATCTCATAATTCTTGGATATTCTGTTCATGGTTTCTTACCATCTTCACTGTGAGGTCAACTTTATTTTCAGGATTGTATATTTTGTCTTTATTATCGGAGGTCCTCTCTTCCAAGTGATCTAGTCTGTTGGTGATGCTATCTGTTGAGTTTTTTAATTGTCTTATTGTTTCTTTCATTTCAAAGATTTCTGTTTGGTTTTTTTTTTTTTCAGTATCTCTTTCTTGAAATAATATCTTGCAACCTCTGTATTTGCTCTCCTATCTCTTTGTTGGTGTGATTGATGGTTGCCTGTATTTGGTCTCTTATGTCTTTGTTGGAGTGATCGGTTTTTGCTTTTATCTGCTCACTTAGGTCGTTCTTTAATTCCCAAATCATTTTAGTTATGTATATTCTGAATGCCTTCTCTGATATTTCACCTATTGTGCTATCTATGGATTCTATTGTTGTAGTATCTTGGTTTGTTGGGGGCACTTTCCTCCCTTATTTTTTCATGATGTCTATGTATCTTTCTCTCTTGCAGTGTTATCTGAAGTATCATAGCTTCTGCCCTATTGTCTTATAGTGTCCCTATAGGTTATCTATACCTCACTATTAAGGAAGAAATCAATTTACAGCACTCAGTGTACCCAACGTGCAGCCATATATCAGTTAGCTTCTATTTTTACATTTATAGTTTTGTCACTATAATCAGAAATGATGAGTCCGGTTATCTTCTACCATATAGTCAATAGGTTTGCTTAATGGTTTACAGTTTCTAGTGGAAGAAGGGGGCCTGGGGGGTTGGCTGAGATGTGTATGAGGTAGGATGTGAGAATATGGAGGTATTAGGTTATATGACTAGTGAGAGGGTAATCATAAGAAATTAGCTGTTAGTAGGAGAAACAAGAGATAAGCAACCCCATGCAAGACTCCGTTACCTCAGCGACAGGATAACTGTTAGCACCCCTAGTAGAGAAACCTCTGGTGCAGCAGGCCCACAGGGACCTTGGTGACTTCTTACCAGGTCCTTATTGTTATCCCTTGATAGAAGCGGCAATATCTTGAAATTATATTTTACCACAACTTACTGTTGAAGAAGCCGGTTACTTGTCCCACGGAGTCTCCTGCAATGGATTTTGCTGCTTGTTCTCTTCACTGTTAACTGAGACTTTCTCTATCCATCCTATGGGTTTCCTCTGACCCAGACACCAAGCAGATTCAGGCAGTGGGTTTGTTCAGTTCTGTCTGTTCTGGTATGCTTTGGTCTGGTCTGTTTGTTCTGGTTCGTTTTTTATTCTGATTTATTCTTTTCTGGTCCGGTCTGGTTTGTTCTGGTCAGGTCTACTTTGTTCTGGTTTATTCTGGTCTGGTCTCATTTGCTCTGGTTGGTTTGTTCTGGTTTGTCCTTTTCTGGTCTGTTTGGTCTGTCCTGTCTGGTCTGAGCAGGGCTGCTTGCCCCAGGAAGGATATAGTCTCTGGCTATCTGCTGTTTTGTGATTCTGGCAGCCATTGAATGTCAACTAGGTCCAGTAGTTCAGTGGAGTTTGCAAACCATGTTGTTTTAACTATTATAGGTATTTCCTATAGGTATTATATTATACGTAATTATAGGTAATATATTATAGATATTTCTTAGCCAGTGCCTTAGTCCATGAGAGCTGCTATAATAGAATGCCACAGATAGATAACTTAAAAGAAAATGAGTTTATTTCTCAGTTCTAGAGCCTGGAAAAGCCAAGGCCAAGACACGAAATATGGAGCACTCCATCTCCACATTGGAGCTTAAATGCTGCCTCTTACCAAGGGGAGGGGTGCTGATATTCACATGGCAGAAAGCAGAAGGGCAAGAAGGACTCACTCCTTCTGCCAAGCCCTTTAATAACAGCATTGGCCTCATAAGCTGACGCCTGCCCAGAGGACCCAGGCCTAGCACTGTGCATTGGAGATGATGCTTCCATCACACAATTCTGGGAGATGCCTTCAAACCAAAGCAGCCAGAATAATGCTATAAAGAAAGCTCCCCCGTGTGCCTGCTTTTCTGTTGCCCAATGTTATCACTTATATAAGAGAGACAAGCGGGCTGTGGTTGTGGCTCAGCGGTAGAGCACTCGCCTAGCATGTGCGAGGCCCTGGGTTCCATCCACAGCACCACATAAAAATAAATAAATAAAGATATTGTGTCCAACTAAAAAATAAATATTAAAAAAAAGAATTTTAAATTTAGAAAAAAGAGACAAGAAATGGGGGTTATTCCTCACCAATTTCATTTTGATGAATGAGTTCACAACTAGGTTTGCTCTTCTTTTTAGTATCGTTGTGAACTTATGGAGTTAGGCATGTTGATTTGATTCCACTCATCAGTTATTTTTAGTATTCAATTGCCACATCTTTGGCCAGTGGGAATATCTTTGTATCATCTTCTGAGTCCTTTAGACAAGGCCTTGGTGGTAGTTGTCCGCTCTCCTGGCCCTCTGGTCTGTGCAGTGTTGCTAGTCCATTGTGCGGTGTCCTTGAGACCTGATCAGCTTCCACCTTTTCCTTTGAGTGGAAGTACTGTTTGAGGGCCACCCTCTCAGAGAGGGAGGTGCCTGCTGATGCTGGCCCCTCTGTTCTCTGGACAGAGTAAGGAAATCTAAGATAAAACAGGCTTGAGTTTGTATTCTTCCAGTTCATATTCAGGATGATGCAATGAACTGCTTAGACCTTACTCTGTCCTTTCATTACCCTCTAGGAGTACTGGGTTCATTGTCTCCACTCAGCAAAGAATTGAAGAACAGGACACAGAGAGAGCAAGCAAGCAGCAGGTTTATTCTAAAAGTGATAGAGATAGACTTTCTAAAGAGAAGGGGCCCCAGAGCTGGGTGTCTGGTGGGGGAGTTTTGGCTTGTTCTTTTTATGGTCTCTGGAATTTCCTCTTTTCCTCCCCTGTCCACACTCTTCTCACTATTATCGATGGGTGCTCCTTCTGTCTACCTGTCTACTTCAGTTTTTCTATCAGATCCCCTGCTTACGAGCACAAGTACAGAAGTGTCTGTCTGGAATTTTAAATTTAAAAAAAAAGAGAGTGCTTCTGTTCACAAGCCCTTTTGTTAACCAGGATATTGACCACATCAGAAAACCCTCTCCATGCTGTTTTGTTCTGGTCCTGCCTCTGACCTCCTCATTCACCATCTTGCCCTGGCTGCTTAAGCCCTTCTACATCTCCCTCACTTTCAACCTCCCAACCTGGTTATCAGCACCCAAAGTTGATAGTTAGGGGCGTATGACTCACCTGTGCCATCTCTGGCAGATATATGATCTCAGGAGTGTGTGAGACCTGGGCAGGTGGGGGTGGATCTGTGTTGTGCTTTTGTTTTGTTTTAGCTTATTGTTAAATACACACACACACACACACACTGGAAGTAAACAAATAATAAAATCATAGTGGAAAGTTCCTTCTAAGCACAACCCAGAAGCCATTGTTAAAGGATCAGTCGAGAAAATAAATTTGACCAAATGAAAAAGTCTGCACAGCCACAAATTACTACAATTAAAGTAAAATCTGCACAGAGTCACACTTGAGTATCCAAGAGACCAACACCTTGCTGGGCCATCTGGGTAGACTTCCTAGTGACAGAGGAAGACCTGCAGGCCTGTTCAAAGCCTCTGGCGGGGATGGGGCTGCTGGCTCTCCTTACAGATGAGAAAACTCAACCAGGCTGAATTTCTTCAAGTTTGTGCCGGACAGTGGCAGAGCAGGACCTGAACGGACCTATTGCCTGACACCACACCCACCACCCTTGCAAGGAGCCAGCAGGATGGCCAGCTACAATGTCCCGACATGACACCCACCACCCTTGCAAGGAACCAGCAGGATAGCCAGCTGCAGTGTCCTGACACCACACCCACCATCCTTGCAAGGGGCTAGCAGCCTGGCCTGCTGCTGTTGGACTTGAAGACCTTTCATTACAGGCGGACATCTTGCAGCTCCAAGTCAAGGGTGACACCTGCTCAGTAAATTCAGCCTCATTCTGATCTCCCCAGGAGAAGCATCTGCTCAGGGGGCACAGAGAGCTGAGCCAGGGGGCCTAGAGAGAACCCAGAGTGTTCTGAAACTAATATAGTCAGGTTTAGTGTGGACTGTTGACATCACTGAAGTGACCACTCTTGGCCTCTGCAGGACTGCCTGCCACCTCCATGCTCAGCCCTGCTCAGCAACTCATGCAGTACTGAATTGTTTGTTAGTCTCTCCCAGGAAAGTATCATTCAGTAAATTTTTTTGACACACAAAGCAAGGATGTGGTTTCTATGTGAGTCTGTGGTGAATGTTTTGAAGAGATTTGTAGAAGGCCAAATTCAAGAATGCATACCATCTCCCTGTCATTTAGAATGTTCTCTCTTCTCTAGGGGACATCCGACACCCAAAGCGTGTCCAGCAGACTGATTTGGCTGCAACACTGGCAATTGGACTTGGTTTGCCAATTCCTAAAGACAGTGTGGGGAGTCTCTTATTCCCAGTTGTAGAAGGGAAACCAGTGAGGGATCAACTGAGATTCTTACACCTGAACACAGTGCAGCTCAGCAAGTTGCTGCAGGAGAACATGCCATCTTATGAGAAAGGTAAGCTAACTGGCAGTTCCCAGCCTCTGAGGTCACCATCTGTGCCCCGTGTTCCCATGTGCTTTGTGCTGTGCATTGTGGTTGTCATGGGCTACTTTGTGTCTCACGCTCTTCCACCATGTCCCTGCCTTCCTGACCCTCAGAACCTCACCTGTCAGCCTCAGCACCCACAGATGCCTCATCTAGGTGTGGTTCCTTCATAACCGTATTCATTCTGCTAACATTCACCATGTTCTTCTTATGAGCCAAGGAGTGTTAAAGGTAAGCACACATGGCACAAGGTTTCTGTCCTCACAAAACCTTCCAGAGGGAGGAAAGAAAAGTACCATGGTGGATGCCAGATGGCCACCTTGAAAAAGAATGCACAGGGAAGGGGAGTGCAGGAGTGGGTGCTGGCGACAGGACTTACCTTTGAATAGATGCCCAAGAGGGAGCCCCACAGGCTGAGGAGACCAGGTGCTGCAGCAGGGACATCAGAGAGATATGGGGGCCCACTGGGCATCGGAGGGCTTTGACTTTTATTCTGGGTAAGGTGGGGGGCACTGCAGGGTTTTGCACCAAACCCAGAATCTTGGGCGTGTGTTTTCCAAGGCTCTCAGGAGAAAATGAGTCAGAAAGCAATTGCAGTGCTCTGGGGAAAGAGGAGGCTGCCGGTGGCAGTGGAATCTGGGAGAAACAGTAGAATCTGGGAGAGGCAGTTACACTGTGGATGTTTTGAAGGGAGTGAAACAGGATCTGCTGGAGCACTGGGATACAAGGTCATAGAAGACCCATGGGAAGGATGGGCCTCTGTGTTCTCAGCGTGGCAGTGAAAGGGGGCTATCATACACTGCTGTGGGCAAGACTTTGACAGGAGCAAGTTTGCAAGGCAGGGTCGTGGGGCACAGTGACCAGGAAGCCATGAACAGAGTTTCATGAGGAAGCAGTGTTGCCCACGAGCATCTGGGCTGGTTCCATAATTTGGCTTTTGTGAATTGCACTGCTATACACATTGATGTGGCTATGTGTCAACTACTGGGAACTGACTGCTGACCTGGCAGTACAGGCTCATCAGGACCTGCAGACCAGCTCAATGGGATACTGGGGAAGCCTGATTGGGGTGGTACAGGTGAGGACAACAGAAGGTGAGCAGGGAAATGGACTGGGTTGATGTGGGGCTGAGAGCAAGTGTTTTCAATTTAAGCCAGAGCTACAAAGGATGTTTATGTGCCAATAGGAATGGTCCTGGGAGGAACAAAAAATTTTAAATTAATTTTAAAAAATGGTCCCTGAATAAGAATATGCCTTCCTGGGGCCCTCTGTAGATATTTGAGTTTTGTTTTGTTTGATTTTAGAGCATTAGAGTTATACACAGTAGTTGGATTCATTTTGACAAAATCACATATGCATGGAATTTGATTTATTCCATTTCAGTCCCGGGTGCCCCCTTTTCTCCCTCCTTCTGTTCCACTGATCATCCTTCCTCTCATTTACTTATTTTTGGTTGGTGTTTTCTACCTACACATACAGGTAGAATCCCCTGTGGTATACTGACATATGCATATAGCATGATTTTGTTAAATTCATTCCCCATTTTCTCCCTTTTCCCTTCCCTCCTCCCTCCCTCTCAATCTCCCTCTTCTACTCCATTGGTCTTCCTGTATATTTTTATGATATCCAATCCCCACCCCACCTTTTCCCCCTTATTTTTCTTTAGCTTAAGCATATGAGAGAAAATATTTGACCCTTGATCTTCGGAGTCTGACTTGTTTCACTTAGCATGATGTTCTCCAGTTCTGTCCATTTGCTGAAAAAAGTAAGATTTCATTATGTGTATGTACCACATTTTCTTAATCCACTAATCTATTGACGAGCATCTGGGCTGGTTCCATAATTTGGCTTTTGTGAATTGCACTGCTATACACATTGATGTGGCTATGTCACTGTAGTATGCTGATTTTAGACTTTTTGGATAAATATCAAAGAGTCAGGTAGCTGGGTCATATGGTAGTTCCATTCCTAGCCCTTTGAGGAATCTCCATACTGCTTTCCAGAATGGTTGTATGAGTTTGCAGTCCTATCAACAGTGTATGAGTGTACTTTTCCCCCTAATCCTCACCAGCATTTATTATTATTTGTATTCTTGATCATTGCCATTCTGACTGAAATGAGATGAAATCTTAGTGTAGTTTTGATTTACATTTCCCTGTTTTCCAGGGATGTTGAACATTTTTTTTTTTTTATAATTTGTTGAATTGTATTTTCAAATACTTTACTCTGCCACGTCCAAGCACATCAAATACCAACTCACCTGACCCCAGGCCCCATCTGAAGTCTAGAGAAGGTGCCTCCGGTTTGAGGCAGCACTTGACCTGATGTTAGCAGGTCTTCCTCTTGGAGGTTGTGGGGTGCTGCCAGCAGCAGGTGACACTGTGAGTGTCACATGTAGAAGACAGGCCTTGCAACTGGGGACTGGCCAGGAGCCACGGGCAACAGGGCGGGAGGACCTGCTGAGCCAGCGCATAGCTCTGAGGTGTCTAGGGAGGAGCTTCTTGCAGGTGAGGCCTAGGCAGCACACATTTCAGTCCAGACCAGACCCAACTATTACTTTTGGTTGTTTGTTTTTATTTTTTCCAAAAATAGTTTTTATTAGCATGATAGTTTTTCATATTTATTGTTGTTAATATGTACCCTTTCTCTTGCACTAGAAAAAACACCAATGAAAGCAAGAAACAATGGAAGCATTGTTTGCCTATTTCAGAAATATCAGGGTAGGAGAAATGGAGAGCCAAAGTGAGTAGGGGAAGAGATGACCCTGCCAGACAAACTCAGGACGGCCTCTGGAATGAGGAAACATCCCTGGGGTCCTACACCCCCAAGAAGCCTGTGTCCACACTGTCCGTACATGTGCTAACACAGAAATGGTATAGCTCTCAGAAAAGCCTATAGAGACCCACTTTACCCATCCTGTCCTTGGGCAGTCTTTCTACTCTTGTGGGACTGGCTGTTCCTTGCCTCAGGATCTTTGCACATGCCTGGGGTCCTTAACTTTCAGCTTACAAGTCAGACTATCCTTCTCCCACCCCACTTACAATCTTAAATCAGTTCCTCCCCATTACCAGAGGTCTTGCATTATACCATCTGCTTTTCCTTTGCAGCATTCTTCTCAGTATATAAGAGTGTGTGTGTGTGTGTGTGTGTGTGTGTGTGTGTGTGAGTGACCCCTACAGAATCCTGCCAAGGAAGCAGGAATTGTACCTATTCACTCACCATGTGTCTTACCCAACATACCACCCTTGGCCTATAGTCAGGGCTCAGGAAGTGTTTGTTTGGATAAATGAACAGGTGGCCCCATGTCTCTGTGATTCCTAGATGGGGACGTTGTGGGGTATAGACACAGGTGCCTGTGTTTCTCTCTCTTAGAGGAACTGTGGACACAAGTGGCCCACTTCAGGGTGGGAGGTGCAGCATCTTGTTGCCAGCTTTGGAGTTTCACCCTTAGTTCAGATGTCTACTCCCACCGCTCTGTGAGTAGCAGGTGATTTGCCCTCTGTCTTAGATGCTGCCTCTGGAAACAGGCATGATGCTCACATGACACTCCCAGCTCATTGCTATGGAAAACAAGGAATAAGTTGCTTGGCGTGGTGCTGGCCATTGCCTCTTCCAGGTCACATCCTCCAGTTCTCCCAGATTGGCTTGCAGGCCTCGGGGTACACGTCTGGGGCTTGTGCCACAGGCTCTAGACTTCAGCAGCTAATGTCACTTGCTGGGCAAGGCCCGAGGTGTGCTCACAGAATCCCCCAAGCTCAGTGTCTGTTTGGGGAGCCTGCTGATAGGCACACTAAGACTGCCCTCCAGTGGCCCTTCTGGAGCATGAAGACTCAGAGAGGAAGTTCTTGGCTTACAGACCCATCTGGTCACTAGTAAGTGTGATCCAGCAAAGACTTAGCCCAGCCAGCTCTAGAAAAGGGCCATGTCAGCCTTGGTCTCCAGCAGACATGAGGCTGGGTTCTTTTGGGAGCTGGCATTCCATGTAGGCTGCACCACTGGCCATCCTGAGCAGGGACAGGCCTCAGTGGTGCTAGTGCAAGGACAGAGGGCCAGCCTTTGCTGGGCAGGTAGGCATGGTGGGCAAGGTCCCCACACACACTGCCAAGACAAGCATTCTGCAAAACAGGGCCTGTCAGTAATGCACTTCAGGGTAGTTTTAATACTGCACGAGAAGAGTGGAAAGAGACAACAGGGAGGAAGGGGAAAGGCAAGTGAGGGAGGTGAAGAAGGAATCCAGGCGGAGCCGCAGCAGACATTTCTGTCACTGTGTGTGCTGATGACCCAGGCCTGACATTGCTGATAATGGACACACACATTTCCTCAGCTTCCTCAGCCCCTCCCCTAAAGGGACAGAGAGGTATCTGTTCTAAAAATGTGCCAAGAAAAACCGAATACTCTGGAATTGTGTCTGTTCTGACATGCGTGTGATCTTTTGGTTCTCTTGCTAGATCCCGGATTTGAACAGTTTAAGATGGCCGAAAGGTTGCATGGGAACTGGGTCAAACTACACTTGGAGGAAAACCGTTCAGACGTCCTGCTCAGCCTTGGAACCAAGGTGCTCAGGCAGTACCTGGGTGCACTGAAGACCCTGAGTCTGTCTCTGAGCACACAAGTGGCCCAGTACGATATCTACTCGATGGCAGTGGGGACTGTCGTGGTTTTGGAGGTACGGATGTTCATGGAGCCATGGCTCAGGTGCTAAATTTGTTTGGTAACTCAGCCAAAATAGGACAGTTCAAAATATATATAATAAGGTTGTTGCTAAACAAGAAAACTGAATTTTTCAACCCTTTTGTTTTGTGCCTTGACTTGGACACAAAGCAGTGCATGCAACAGGTGTCTACCCTCAGCATTGCCATGGGAAGAGAAATAATAAGGCATGTGGTTTGGGTAGACAGTTAAAAGTAATCCTTCAATGGGCTCTTCTGACCTCGCTGTATGAGCAGCTGATGAGCTCAGAGGGATGCCACCTGCTCACAGAAACCACTGGTGTTTTTCTGTTCCAGGTTCTCACCCTGCTCCTCCTCAGCACCCCACAGGCGCTGCGCAGAGGGGCTGACCTGGAAGTTCCTCTGTGGTCTCCTGTGTTTTCCCTGCTCTTTTATTTGGTATTCCTCGTTCTTTCGGCCATTCACGTCATAGTGTGCACCTCAGCCACAAGTTCCTGCTACCTCTGTAGCCTCCCGTGGCTGGTGGCAGGAGGGCTGATGGTTCTGGTTTCCGCACTGCTCTGTGCAATTGTCTCCACTCTCACCCGGACTGTCATCGAGAGCACTCTCCTGAGGAAGGTAGGCTGTATCCACGTACGCTCTCGTTATGTCAGCCAGACTTCCAGTCATCAGACATTGGTTGAACACCTGGCATGTTCCAGTATAATTCTGGTAGGGCAGTTCCCTGGGATAGCCGCATACCAAAGGGGTTAGTTGGGAAGGACCTCAGCAGCCACCCAGACCTCTGGCATCTTGACTGCAAGGTTATGGTTGTAGTCAGGTCCCAGCCCTTTATTCTCAGTTGAGAAAAAAGGTTTCCTGAACTGGGGAGGAAGTAGAAGCAGAGCTGCTACACAAGGATGGGGAGTGTGAGTCTGAGTCCTAGTAGGCCCTTGCCCTGTGACTGAGGGACAGTCTCAGGTAGACACACAGGATGGCCCTGCTCATCTGGTCAGCTTCACCAAGTGCAGTTTTCTTTTCAAGGCTGACATTTTCTTTTGCAATTCTTAGTCTCTGGTTTGGCACCTTTGTTTGTGAGCTTAGAGGTGGTGACAGGAAGAATGGATAGTTGCAGTTGGGTCCAGAGTGCCCTGTGCAGAGACTCCAGCCCCATCCCTCCTTGCAGGGGTTTCGGAGGCCCTCTGCTGTGTCTGGGCCCAGGCACTCATGTGTCCCTAGGGCATGATGCTCTTCATCCACAGCTGCATCTCTAGGGCCTGGCTGGGCTCGTGGTGACTCTCCCTGGGTACCTCACAAGCAATGGTTTCAAAAGAATGCGGACAGTTGCGCCCTCATCTTGAACGGTCTTTGGCCAGCCTGCTTCATGGATAGTACTGTGTGCCACCCTTGTCATCTTAACAGAAACCACTGTAGTGGGGATCATGGAGTTCTGGAAATTCATGGAGAAATTAGATGTGTGGTTTAAGGAGTTTATCAGGGTCCTTTGGTTTTGAACAGGAACTGGCTTGGAAGCGGGAGCAGGAGGGCTGGGTCAGGAGCCACTGGCCAGTGCCCCAAGCTCTATCACTGTCCAGAGAGCCCAGGTGCTTTCAGTCTCTGCCACCGAGCTTATGACTTGCAGTCCAGGGTGAGGACAACTGGCCGGCCATGTGGTGTCAATGTCCCAGAAGCAGGGGAGGGGTCTTCCAGAATGGGCAGCAGGCACTGGGCTGAGGACCAGCAGGTGTCTGTCACAGGGGGTTCTTCACTGTGAGTGAGGATTTTAGCACATGCAAAGAGACACATGTCATTTTCAGATTACTACGGAAAATGCATTTCCTCCTCACAGAATGCAGCTCTCCCCAGCTCCAGGTGGTCAGAGATGGACCTTCTCCTGATGCTGGGCACAGCAGGCCACGTCCTGAGCCTGGGTGCCAGCAGCTTTGTGGAAGAGGAGCATCAGACCTGGTACTTCCTGGTCAATACCCTGTGTCTGGCTCTGAGCCAAGAAGCCTGCCGTAGCTGCTTTCCAGGAGATGACAGCAAGCCTCAGCACAGTGTCCACATGCTGCAGGACAGTGCAGTCTACAGAGCCCCCATACTCCACAGAGCAGGCCACACCTCCCCCTCCTCAGAAGCACTTGGGGGCCACGCACGGTGGGCTATCCTGGCAAGCCCCTGGCTGGTGCTGGCCTGTTGCCGACTGCTGCGGTCCCTGAACCAGACGGGAGTGCAGGGAGCCCACAGGCCTGACCTCGGCCTCTGGCTCACCAGGTAAGCATGAGCCTCAGCTATGGGCTAGACCCTCTGTAGGTGATGGTCACACACTAGGTCTTTTACATTTAGGCCTGTTTTATCTTATGAATAGGATAATGTAAGGAATCTAAAGAAATGAGCAAATGTAACTCAGGAACGAGTGTTGAAAGGTGGCCTGATAGGTTTTCGGTGCTGAATTACAGATAACTGATCATGATTAAGACCCTGAATTCTAGAGTGACTGCTCCTAAGATATGACTCTAGGTTGAGCTCATAGTGGCTAAATCTGCACTGCTGCCTGGGATGGGAAGGATGAGGTCAGCTGGGCAGGGGGCTGGGGCCTCTGCTGCAGCTCTGCCCTTTGTAGCTCCTTCTTCCTCTTGTCATGTCTCTTTCTCCATCCGGGAGGACAGAGCGTGTGACGATGGTCAGCACTATGAGCCTCTTACTGTGGCTGGAGAGCACAGAGAAAGTGAACTATAGCGGACAGGAGCATTTAAAGTAAGGATGGTACACACGAAGGAAACTGAGGCAGAAGTCAAGATGGCTCTTTTACTGGGGGGCTAAAATGGACAAGAACAGCAAGAGGAGCAGACGGGGACCATCTGCTCAATTCGTGGACCTCATAACTGCAAAACACAGCAGCAGTGCTGCTCCTCTGGGGCCCAGGGAGTTTCAGGTTCACATCGCAGGTTATCTTGTACCTGTGATGATGAAGCCCAGCTTGAGCACAGGTGAGCCGAAGAACCCTGGCCCCACATGGCCTCTCCTTTGGGATTCCCTAGTGCTGAGTCAGCAAGTTGCATGTTCCAGCAGACCGCTGGTGTCTGCCGTGTGTCCCAGAGCAGCCCTGGAAGTGAATTCCCAAGCTGGAGATTAAGGAGCAGGGCTAGAGAGAGGCCAGGCCACTGAGCCCGACTGTGTGAAGTTCCTGCCCCAGAAGAGCACAGTGACACCCCCACTTCATATTTTCTTGGGAAATTGAAGCATTGGAACAGTCCTGGCATGTTGTTGGCCTGTCGTCTCAGGCATGGACATGCTGCCGCTTGCCTCCTGAGCTGTCCTTGCACTGTCTGAGCATTCCTGTTGATGGTAAAGAGGCAGCAGCATCCTGTTGGAAAGGCCCCTGCCTTTTCTGTGGTGGTGTGCCGCAGTGCAGAAGGACACCCGAGATGGTGGCGCAGTTCAAACCAGGCGACCCCAGGAAGGTCCACAGTGCTGACCATCCTCCTGACTTGACACTGCCACATCACTCCTCAGATTTCTGAAGTCTTTTCCCCTTTCTGTGTGTGCCTTGGAAGAAAGTTACTCATCCATTTTACCACTGCTGCCAGTCTGAGCTGTGTGAGTATGAGCTGTGTACCATGTACTCTGTGTACCATGTGCTCTGCCCACTCCTCCTCATCCAGGAGACTGTGGGGTGGCAGCCTCTGAGTTCATCTGTGTGAGTGAGCGGCACAGGCCAGGAGAGGAGGGTCCAGGGGACTGGGACCGTGTGCACCTCTGAGTCCATCTGTGAGGGGAAGGGAGACTTCAACTTGGCAGTCTTATTTGTAACGTTTGAAGAACCTTTGTTTGAATTTAAACAACCAGCCTTTTTTTTTTTTTTTCCCCCTTATCAGGAAAATTAGCTGTTTTTACGTAGCTATCATTACTATGAGACTCAGAGGTCACTAGTTTGGTAATGATTCTGCATTTTCTGTTTCATTTCAGCTCTGACCATAAGGTGGAGCTCTCTGGTCTGGCCGCTCTGTCCCTGCTGGTGATCTTCTTGTTGGTTCAGAGAGGGTGCTCCCTAGTGTCCAGAGCAGCTTTGGCACTGGGGCTGCTGGGTGTTTTCTGCTACAGGGCAGCCATTGGGAATGTGCTGTTTCCATGGCAACCAGGGGACAAAGGCTTTTCAAAGTAAGTGCACTGGACACATGAGAACTTGATTTTAGAAGTATCTTTGTATTTTATGGTAATTTATGTCCTAAAAAATGCCATGCCAATCTTACAGCACTAGGGCTTGGTTTTTGTGAATGGTGATTTCATCGATAGCTACTAGAGCTTACCAAACCTTAATGAACTACTCTGTTAATTCTTTTAGGAGAGAAAGAAAACTTGGAAATAAGGTCATTGAGATATGACTGTAGAGATGAGAAGGTGACAGTGAGTGCTGCTCCCCAGCAGGTAGGAGAGGAAGCAGAGAGCCTCGTAATTTACAGTGTGCTCCCAGAGGGCCAGGAGCTCGTGCCATGCCTATCAGGAGCACTCAGTCACCACTGTTTCTACCTGCTGGTGGCCACTCTTCTGCTTGGGGGTATGGTGGTACAGGCTCTGCCTACTCCTGAGAGGTGGCAACCATAGCTACCCCTTTGACAGGCTGTCTTTCTTCTTAAGCAGCTCTTGAGGTAAGGCAGAGGGCAGGAGGGATGGAGACGCAGGCATGCTCCCTGAGGCATCCCTTACAGCTGCGAGAGTCAGGACAAGGCAGCTGTCTGATGAGAGTGGTGACCCTCACAGTTCTATGGAAGCTCTCAGGCAGGACACTGTGGACCAGCAGTCTGTAAAACTGTCATATGACCCCAACAAGTGTGTTTCACTTTTCATATTTATATAAAAGACTGAAATAAAATATTGGTAATTATATTTAGAACCTGAGGTCATAGGTGGATTGTAATCTTCCTTTTTACGTATTATTAAAACTTATGTGTGTCTAGAATTCACAAGTATTGCTTCTCTAATTAAGCAAAAGGTCCAGCTCTGAGCAGGGGTCGTGGCGGGGCTATGCAGGTGGTTGTGGGGTTCGGAGGCATTCCAGAAGCACGTGCTGACAGAAATGGTGTTGAGGCAGTGCCTGCTGGCGGGGGGCAGCAGCATGGTAGGGCTTCCTGCCCCAGAGGCTGGGGAGGTCAGTGCCAGAGCAATCCATGGAGACACCTCAAAAGCTGTTGGCTTCCCAGTCTGAGACCTGGCAGACTTCCAGGCTGAACACTGTCACACAGTGCAGTATGTGAATGAGTTCCTCGTTTCTTCCCAGGTTTATGTGCCTGATGTCAGCATCTCTCACTTCAAGACTTCAACCACCTTGCCTTGTCTTGCCTGCTATCTGCAGCATGTCCTTTGCTGGTGTCCAGAACATAGCCTTTCTTTTCTTTATTTTTTAGTTGTAAACAGACACAATACCTTTATTTTATTATTTATTTTTACGTGGTGCTGAGGATTGAACCCAGTACCTCACACATGCCAGGCAAGCGCTCTACCACTGAGCCACAACCCCAGCCTGCCAGTGTGCTTCCTATAAAATGCGTCCATCCCTCTGCTCATCTGTCCTGCTTCTGAATACTTCCTGGTTCCAGATCCACCTGGTTCTGGATCTGCTGTGGTTCTAGATTTATCCAGTATTTTAAGATCCCTTGCTGTTGGTACCTCACTCTCTTCTCCACTCAGAAGCCAGGCTTGGCTGGAGTGTGAGGTCAAGCAGGGTAGTCCTGGGGGTGCCAGAAGCACTGATTATCAGAGTGAGGCGGGTCCATGGGAGATGTCCAGTGACACCTCCCTCCTGCTCACCACCAGCAGCTCTGTCATCTTGTCCTCAGGCAGGCCCTCTTCTAGACCCTGTTTCTCTTTGAAACTTCTTCAGTGGTTCTGACCTCAGAACCCACCTGGACTGTTCTCACTTTCGTCTTGGCCTGGGCATGGCAGGACACCTAAACTCAGCTGCCCAAACCAGGGCCATGTAACAGGCACATGGCACACAGTGCCCACACTGTTTGGATTAAACCAATCAAATTAAAAAATGAATATTTTTTAAGGCATAAACATTTCTAAGAAAACCTAATATAGGAACTCATTTTTCAAAACTGATATTATGTTGGTATTCACTTAAAATTTACTTAGTTAGCATTATTTTAAATGATCAGCTTTTTTAGTTTATATAAAATATATATGTTTTAGGAATATATGTGGCATGGTGGCACGTGCCTTTACTCCCAGAAATTCAGGAGGCTGAGGCACAAGAGTCACAAGTCTAAGACCAGCCTGGGCAACTTAATGAGACCCCAACTCAAAATAAAAAAGGGCTAGGGTAGAGCTCAGTGGTAAAGCATCCCTAGATTCCATCCCCAGTTCCTCAAAAAAAAGTAATATATGTTTCATAAGATGAAGTTCTCAAGTATGGTATCATAAATTATATCCTTTATAGATTTAAATGAAGCTCTCAAGTACTTTGTTCATCATAGCACTTAGTATGTATCAAGTGTTTACTATCTGCCAAACACTTTATATGCTCTCTGTTGCTAATTGCTAGGACAGGCATGTGAGTTGTTGATGCTGCTCTGTTCTTTCCACAAATGGCAGAGCTGAGTGTCGAAGTCAAAAATAGAGCTAGTAAGCAGCAGAGACAGGACTGAGTGGCTTGGACCATGGTCCATTTTCCACATGTGTACATATAATTGTGCAGATCCTCGTTTAGATTTGCCTTACAGTGACACGCTCAGTCGCACACTGAACATTTGTGAACTTGTAGACATTCCTGACAGCTGGGCTAGCACAGAGGATTTCCGTTAACGATGCAAAGCAGGTAGGTGGCTTTTCTTGTATGCTGCAAGGGTGTGGCTGTGGTCTTGCAACCAGGTGATCCTGGGACCACATGAGCAAGACTTCACCAACTCCATAAGGAAGGCACACATCAGGCTGCCCCTTGCAGGAAGATGGTGGAGGTGACACTCCTTCCACAAGGGTGTCACAGCCCCCTTAGCTGGCTGGGCACATTCAGGCACTCCCCAGTTATATATGTTTTTCATGAGAAAATATGTATTTGAATTTTTCTAGCTGGTATGAATGAATTAACTTGTTTTGCTCTTTTTTTAGGGGTATTATTGAAGCTCGTTTTGTTTATGTCTTTGTCCTTGGCATTCTGTTCACGGGCACCAAAGACTTGCTTAAATCCCAAGTCATTGCTGCAGACTTCAAAATCAAGACTGTAGGTTTGTGGGAGATATATAGTGGATTAGTTCTTCTGGCAGCATTGCTCTTGAGACCACATAATCTTCCGGTATTAGCCTTTAGTCTCTTGATTCAGACTGTAATGACTAAATTCATCTGGAAGCCTCTGAGACACGATGCAGCTGAGATTACTGTAATGCATTATTGGTTCGGTCAAGCATTCTTCTATTTTCAGGTAGGTTGTTGTTATCTGGGTAGAAGACTATTAACTTTCAACGTCATTTAATCTTTTAGTTTTCTTTGAGAAAATTTTACAAGTTGTAGAGTGATATTTGTTCAGTGGAAGAATTGTCAGTATGCATGATGAATTATGCTTCAATTTCATGTGAAACTTTAAGAGTAGAGTACAGCTCCAAGGTGTGGATGAATGGGTATAAGACAAGATTGCTGCTTTGCAGGGTCAGGGGGTCACCTAGTACCGACAGTCTAGGAGGCGGGTGTGCCCTTCACTGGCTTCAACAGTTAGTCACTGTGCTTCCTCATCCCTTTACCCTTGGTATTGGAGCTGTCCACCCTGGGGCCTGAAGGATGGTCAGGGCATCTCTCCAGTGTTCAAAGACCCATCAGCAGCAGGCCAAGCCCACTTTGGGTATGCAGGGGTAGGACAACTCCTGGACAGGGGGCAAGCCTAGGAGGGATCCAGTTCCACCAGCCTCCTGGGATCCCCAGAGCAGGTGCCACCTCTCCTCTGATCCCCTCCCAACTCAGCTCCCTGACTGATCAGCTACGGGACATCTCTCTGTCTCCTCCATCAGCCTTCCTATGCCAAACAGACCCAGAGGCTCCCAGAGGCTTGTCTGGCTGTGTGTCCCAACAGGTCAGTCTCTTCCCCAGCCTCCTCTGCTCTTGGTTTCCTAAGCTCCCAGCATTACCTGTGGAGCAGCCCACAACTAAATGGCTTGTCTCTGTTTGACCTCAAAGCCCAAGGGTGGTAGGTGAAATTAGAGAACTCTCTTAAGTCCTTGTGTAGCATGACCAGGTGGAGACCATCATGCTGTAGAGTTCCCTGGCCTCCCAACTATCGCAGCCCCTGGTCACTCACTCCATATGCCAGCTAAGCTTCCCCACTGTAGACTGTGCTCCTGTGGAAGGCAGGGGCCCCTGGATGCCAGCATAGGGGTCCTTAATAGAATGCAGAGAGCCACAGGCACAGATGCTAATATCCAGGACTTCCCACCTGGTAACCTCTGGCAAGCACCTGCTTCACCTTAGTTTCCTTATCTATAAGCTGGGAACAGTACATAGTGCCCTTATCCCAGGTTGTAGTGCGGCCAGGAGCTTAGCTGTGCCTGGCCCTGGTACTGAACATTTTTGATGCTGGTCGAAGAGACAGCTTCTGGAGCACACTTTGCTCCAGGTTTGGCCCAGCTTCCACAGTGTGGCAGGAGGCAGCATGGGCAGCAAGCCGTGCCCTCTGAGCTCTGCAGGCCACACCACTAGTGTTTCTGCACCAGGTACCCCCCTGTGCTGGACTCCAGGCCTCACACTGACAGCCAGAGGAGTCCCTAGCTACCCTCCTGCTGTCTTCTTGTCCTTCTGTTCTCTGCCCCTCACTTCCCTCCCTGACCTTCAGGTTGAGCTTCTTTCCCTTCACTGTCAGGTTTCCTGGGAGAAGAGTCAGAAGCTTTGCTTCTCCTGCATCCTTCTCTGAGCCCTTCGTTTCCTCCACAGCATGAGGATGGGAACATGGGTGTCCACTTGTGCCGGGTCCTGGTCTCTGTCTCAGTTTCCTCCCTGTGCACCGCATCAGCATGGTTGAGGGTTATGAATTCATACAAGGAGAGCTTCAGCACGTGCAGCCTAGCTGCTGAACCACGAGGTCAGCCCTCTCTGCAGACTGATGCTGTTTTGGGGCTGCCATCAGTCTCCCAGAACCAGACCTGCTCCTGTCCAACCAGGCCTTCTTCTGCCCCTCATCCTCCCTCGTGCTTCTTTCCCATGGAAGCCCCTCCCCACTGCCCCCACCAGGAGTTAGGGAACAGCTCACTGTGAGCAGAATGAGTTTCAGGGGAAGATGTGCAGTGGCGTCTGCAACAGGTATGGCCTCACACAGGTGAGCAGGGAGTGAGCAGTGCATACCTCTGCCACAGGTGTTCCTGGAACCACACCTGCCAAAGGATGAGGGAGTGGGTTTGGGACACCCAGTTAGGGCTCAGGTAGGCAGTTCCAAGAGGGGCCCTGGCTGCGCCTTGTGGACGCAAGTGTGCCACTGACCATATGCTTCCTCAGCGTCTGAAGAGGGTCCTCATGACACAGAGATAGAGGGTCATCACTGCCAGCAGACTGACAGTAAAGTAGCAGAATCTTGGCAGATCCACTTTTTGATCCAAAATCCCATAGCAGGATGAGCTATGTGGCATTGTCCCCCATGTCCCATATCTTATGGCCCACCAGAGCTGGGCTACAACCAGCCAGAATGTGGGCAGCAGTCAGAAAAGCCACCCTCAGTAGCAGAATGTTCCCTCCCAGAGCAGTTGGCCCACTCTGCCACATGATTCAGCAGTATCCATCAGGACCCACTGTATAGACAGCACTTGACCTCCAGCCCAGTGTCCCCTCAGACACGCTGGGCAGCTGTGCCTCACAGGGCCACATGTATCACCTTGGAAGGCCCTTGTAGGACATCCACACGTGTATCAAGGTCAGCCTCTGGGTCTGCCAGAGGTGTGGGTATGCTTCAGTAGCCAGCAGACTGGCCTATGCCAGTGGCACAAGACCTAGTACTCCACTCCTTCCTCCTGGGCCTATATCATGTGGCAGGCAGATGGACAGGTCACCCACAGCCAGCCTAGTAACCTGAAGAAATGGCAGGCAGTTGGCGCTCACCAGAGCCTCTGGCTCTTCTGACTGTGTGTCCGCATTGGTGTGCTCATCTGAGCCATATGTGTGTGTGTTTCACGTTAACATAGTGGTGGTTGGTGTCTGTATTGCTAAACCAGTGTCAACCCTGTTCTCCTGTGTTCCAGGGAAACTCCAACAACATTGCCACCATTGACATCTCAGCAGGCTTCGTGGGCTTAGATACCTATATGGAAATTCCAGCCACATTCCTGACAGTGTTTGGGACATATGTGGGGCCTGTGCTGTGGGCCAGCCACTTGGCACACTTCCTGAGCTCAGAAGCAAGCAGGTGAGGTGCTTTCTCCGTCTTCTAGCATAAATCTAATGGCAGGTTGCCTGTTCTGAAAAGTGAAACTTATTCTGGATAAGGGCATCAAAACCCCAAGGGTTAGACCATTTTTTTTCACAGATTTTCTTTTCCTTAAATAAGCACAGTTTGTAGCTCAGAGGCCTGGGTGGGTCTGAGGCTCTGTGGGCCAAGTTCAGGTCTCCCAGTTCAAACCACACAGTGGAAATTTCTCTTGCTTGTTGGTATTGGGAGGGAAGCTAGTTCTTCCCCTTGGGGGCAAGAAGACAAAAGATGCTGGTTCTTGGCTTCCAAAAGCCCTGCCACAAGGGAAAGGCCCCAGAAGGGGTTTCCGCCCATACAAGAGGCTGAAGCCAAGCAGGGAGAGTTCAGACACAATCGCACACCAGCAAGGCCCTCCTGGGGGATTTGCACACATGTGCCTCCCACCTGCACAGCATGCCCTCACCCTTCCTTGCCTGTTCTCTCGGCTGCAGCCCTACCTCCTTAGGATTTGCTGTTTCCTCCTTACCTGTGGATTTGTGCTCAGTTCCTCCCTGACAGGAGGCTCCATGGATCTGGCCTTCGCCAGCTTGTTCACCAGGCAGCCTCAGTGCTGGGTAGCCCGCCTGATGGAGTCAGCCACAGCAGAGTGTGGGCAACTTGTTTCTGAGTCCCCCAGGGTAGCCAGAGAGCCGCCCATAAAGCTGTTGGACTCGTCTGTGCCTGGTTTCCCCATCCGTAGAACAGAGGTTGCTTGGGGCAGGAGAGGGAGTGTGGCATCACTGGGAAGTGCCCCCGTCCCTGGTCTGCAGACGCACAACTTGCTCCATCTGCAACCCTGGTCCCAGGTGCTTGTCCACTCACTAAGCCATATAGCCAGCAGCACTGCACTTGCCTCCCACACACTCTGGTGGACACACCAGGTCAGCCAGAGCCTCACCGGCATACCACTTTGACCAGTGGCCCCAACCCTAGGAGCTGTGACACTCATGTGCCCTGCCAGTCTTTCTGGTGGGGCTTCCACATCAGCCATGACTGGAAGAGCAGCTCTGGCTGCGGCTGCTGTACTGTTGGCTATGGGCTGACCCTCAGGAGATTCCCAGGCTCCACTGACCACCCAGTGACCCTACAAACTCCACATCCCTACCTCTGCCAGCAGTGTCTGTGGGTCTGCTCTGTCCTCTGGCTTTGCTGTGTGGCCACCTTTGTGGGTTTGCATTCGTCCCACCCCAGGTCCTCGTCCTTCCTCAACCCCAGAACCACTCGGAGATCCCCAGGTTATGCATGGCTCAGACTGCCCCGAGGCTCCAGCCCAAGCATCTAGCCTCCTCTCAGCATCTCCATGGAGGTATCCTGCAGGCCTGGAGTTGTGTTCATACTCAGCCTGTTTCCATCAGGGCAAAGGTGGGCATTAGTGTCATCCACTAGAGAGCCATGAGATGGCCTCAGCCCTGGAGAGAGCTTCCCACCCCAAGCTCTAGGTGCACATCAGGGTGCAGGTGAGAGCCAAGTGCCTTCCAGCCAGCTGACCCACAGCCCTCTGAGGGTGAGAACTTCATCTCCAGCCAGACCCTAGCTTTCTGCAGATAAGGGACACCTAAAACAGTCAGCTGCACTCAGGGCAATGTGTGGACAGACCCCACAGTGAGGCTCACCCAACCCACAATCAGGGCCAAAACTGAGCTCTGGGGCAGAGCTCCTGCTCACAAATCTGGAAGTTGCCTCTCTGCAGCTGTCTAGGATGCTGTGTGGGTGGGTTGGAGACAGGCTGCAAGTGGACACTGGACTTAGAGAAACAGAAGCCCCTTCCTTGGCAGTAAACACCAAGAGGGCCAGGAGTTGTGGGGTCTGTCCACCTCTGTCTGCAGGGACTGGCACATGGTTGAGCACACTTTGGGTGGAACCCAATTGCACCGGTGCAAAGGATGCGGCTCATCCTCCGTCTGCCTGGCAGGCCTTCTGTAAAGAGCAGCAGTCTTGGCGCCTTGGAGCTGATGACCAACATGCACAGCAGGCACATCTGTGTTTTGGAGAAGAGACAGCATCTTCCAAAAAGAGTTTTAATCGATTTGATGGCTTCTCTAATTAAGGAGTTATCTTGCACTTTAGAACTGGTTTCTTCCTTCATGTTCAAAAGCTTAAAACATCAAGCTGAATCCGCCTCCCTTTTGTCCCAGTGATGTAAGAAAGCTGTGAGCAGATCTAAATGGTGCACAGAGCAATACTTCCAATAGGTCAAAGCTGCGTCCACGTGCTCCCTGCAGCACAGGTGTCCCGTGCCAGGCGAAAAGAGAGTAGTAAGAAATGTGTTACCATTCAGGGACTGAGGTGTGGCTTCTGAAGGGATGGTGTTTTGGACTGTCAGCTGGAGGACGAGGCAGAGTAGGGCTGTGTGGCAGCTCACCTTACATGAGCCCTTGGGTAGGAAGGAAGCTGTGGGTCCTGTACACTCCCCTGGGGGCCAGCCAGAGCCCACATACCATGAAGCTTGTGCAGAGTGTGCACCTTTTAGAGGTGTTGGTGCCGTTGCCTAGGATGTGACGAGGCAGCCCCTGTTGGGTCCAGCAGGGCACCCCAGTGCCACAGTTGGGGGGGAGCAATGAGGGGACATAAACTGACCATAATGTGAAGGCTACGACCACTGGGTTGTGTTAGCGGCTCTGAAGGGGGTCAGAGTTGCGGCCCACCCAAACAACAGGTCCAGTTTCCTTGGGGGCAGGTCCTGAGTGGCAAGGAAGGTCTGCAAGCAGTCAAGCTTGGCCTCTCCAAGAACTGGAGACACAACCCTCACGTGCCTTCTTCCCTCTCAGAGCTTATTGTTAGTGATGCACCCTGCCCTCAGTGGGTACATCTTCTCTGGTACACCTGCAGGAAATCAGCACAGGTTCTGGAAATGGGTGAGCACAGGGAGGTGCTCAGTGCTCTCCAGTACAGGAGAAGAGTCTTCCTCATGTCTGGTCCCGAGTTGGGGGCAGGAGCTAACCCACTTCTCTTGTTGACAGTGGTCCTGCACTGAGCCGTGCTTGCTTCTGCTATGCGCTAATCTGTTCCGTGCCAGTCGCCACGTATCTCATCCTGGTGACGTCCCTGCGCTACCACTTATTCATATGGAGTGTGTTTTCTCCAAAGCTCCTCTATGAGGGTATGCATCTGCTCATCACAGCGGCCCTCTGTGCGCTCTTCACAGCTGCAGATCAGAACAGCCGTGCAGGGCCAATACAGAGGTGGACACTGGAAATGGGTGGCTCTTAAAGTCTGCTGTCTGCCCTGTGGGTTTGAGTACTGAACAATCTATTAGATTCAAGTTCCATCTAAAAAAAAGATGTAAACTTATAAAGTTGGTAACCAGCTTCAGCTGTACTTGAAATTAGATTAAGGAGTAAGTACTTTAATAAAAGGTGACTTTAAAATACTTCAGTGTGTATTGTGGTTTCCCTATTGCCAATCACTCCAGAAACTTGTGCACTTTTAAGTTCCTCTGATGTTATGCATGTTATGATGTGTGTTTAAACTGATGAACAAAGATCCTGGAGTGTCCTCAGAGTGCCTGGGGCCCCTGGGCAGGGGGTTACCTGCTCCAGGAGCCACATTATGGCACCCAGGCCCCTGAACACTCCAAAGCCGTGGACACCCAGGGGCACTGGCTTATGTGGGAGGAGTCCATCACTGCTGATAGCATTTAAATGAACACTCTTCACAGAAATTGCTCCTTTAAAAATAATCTATTTTTGTTAATATAAGGATTTTTTTCTGGGGTTTTTGTACATATACCCACAAGGGAGTTTCATTATAAGTTACATCTTTGCCTAATTAGAGAAAAGTAGAGCTGCTTGTTAAATATCTGAAGCATTCTAAAAGAAATTAAATATAACATTTTCAAGAAAAATAATTATATTTTCCAAAAAAAAAAAAAATTTTTTAAATTAGCAAGTATTTCAGTCAGCTTTTTTGCTGCGGTAACTAAGCACCCAACCAGAACAATAGTAGATGAAGAAAGTTTAAGAGGTCTCAGTCCATAGACAACAGAATCCAGCAGGAGGCAGCTCACATAATCAGTAAACAGGGATACAAGATACACCAGATACACCACTCACCAGATACAAATATCCACCCCAAAGCCATACGCACGCCCACCTCCTCCAGCCACACCATAGCTGCCTTCAGTCACCAATCAATCCCACCAGAGTAGTAATTCACTCTTTGGGTTAACTCTCCAAATCCAATCACTTCATAAACCTTGCTGTTTTCTCTCACATGAGATAATGGGAGATACCTCACATCCAAACAATAACAGTAAGAATGACATTTTAAATTTTTAAAAATCTGTCTTATATCTGATTCAGTTGAAGATACACCTCTTGTGAGGTGTTTACAGAGTAAGAAGCAAGAGAACTGCACAGACCTAGGGATAGAGAGGAATGAGAGCCCCAATGTCTCCTCACACAGACCTGTGGATGGACAGCAGGGGAGCTCAGTGTCTTCCTCAACAGACCTGTGGATGGACAGCAGTGGGAGTCAGTGTCCTCCTCACACAGACCTGTGGATGGACAGCAGGGGAGCTCAGTGTCCTCCTCACACAGACCTGTGGATGGACAGGAGTATAGTCTCTTCAATTTTTTCCTTTCCTTTTATTTGAACTACTTTCAAATACACATTATTCTTAAAGAGGGATATTTAATTGCAGAGTGGAGCCTGCTACAGTGTGCAGGATCTTTCATGCCCTGTGCATTGCAGCCAATTGATTGTTCCTTGACCCTGAGTTGGTGCCTGCCCAGGTGGTTTAGGGCAGGTACCTTTCTGTTTAAGGAATGGCCTGTGCATATGCTGCACATGCTTGGATCGTCTTCAGTCAATGCCTAAGCACTTCTCAGCTCCCCACCCAACTCATCAGTTAAGTCCTGAGGGTTTGCATCTCCACGTTTTTCCAGACTTTAGTTCATGATGAAATCTCAGTGGTGGTGATCGTCAGCACGCTTGACCATCAAGATTCCAACATCCAGAGACCACTCTTTCTATGAAATTAGTCTGTGTGTTTTATGGGTCCAGTCCCCCTTGACACCCACAGGGTGCTGGTGCTGGGCACTGGCCAGTGGTCCTTGCACAGCATTCATGACCTCCCCTCCTGGACCTGCAGATCCAGTGAGATATACCTGCTGCCGCTCAGGGGTGTTCTTGGGCACCCGTCGTGGGAGCCCAGGACATGTGGGGCCGGCCTTCCTCTGTGCCAGGCCAGCAGCTTCCGCACTGCTGCCTTGGCCTCCATAGCTCTACTGATTCAGAAGAAGAAGGCAGCCTGAGAAGAGCTAGGCAAGAGGACTAAGGCAAGGAAGCTTCATCACCCAGGAGCGGCAGTCAGTGACATTCAGTGACTAGATTCACAGCTCTGGGTGGGAGGTCGTGAGGGTATGTGGGGGGACACTCTCAAACTCTACCGCCTCATCTGGACCTTGGTGAGAGCCACAACTTCTCCCTAAAACCCTCTCCTCACTGGTCATCCACTCCACACCAGGAAAAGCCTGCCTTGGTTCCGGACCTGATCACTGTTACCGCTGTTTACCGGTGATGAGTCTTTGCTTCCCGAATGCCAAAGTATAACACCAAGAAGCACGCCGAGGCAAGCCAAGAGTGGAAAGTGGAAGGCTTTATTAAAGGACAGCAGAAAAGACTTCTCCCCGCAGGAAGAAGGACCCGAAAGGCTGAATCCTTGGAAGGGTAAGTTCTTCCCTTTTTATAGCTAAGGTCTTCTTTTAGTCCTCCCACACTTCTGTCCTTTGTTTCCCTCTATCCTGCAGTGATAGAATGCAGGTGGGAAGGCCAAAAGGTGGGAGGTAGGTGGGCTGAAGGAGTAATTTGGGCAGGATGGGCCTGGGGCGGTTTTTGATTAGTACCTCTCTGTTTGCTGGGAGCTGCTTCATTAACAGTTCCTTAGGATGGGACCCGGGCCTTAGGGACATTAACATTCCAATTTCCCCAATTGCAGCTCTGGTTTCCTGGACTCCATTCTCCATAATGGTCTCCATTGTCTTTATCTTCCTCCATGTTAGACCCGATTTACCTAAACTACACTAACTACCTATCTTTAAATCTGGTTTCTCCCTATGACTCTCTCCTCAACAGTCATCCATTCCACACCAGGAAAAGCCTGCCTTGGTTCTGGACCTGATCACCATGGTCTAAGTGACTGTGCATCTGCTGGACATAAAGCCTAAGGCTTAAGACTTTTGAACTTAGCATGCAGAGGAAATGTCTGTCATTAACCTGTCATGATTAAATGTGTTTTGCAGTGCTTAGAATTAATCTAGAATTGTTTGCTGTGAATTGATTATTAATCTATTGCAGTGCCTAGCATTAAGGATTGTGGTTTTCTTGATTAAGAACCTATAGAGTGAAATTGTATGGAGTAATTTGAGTGAATAAAGCATTAAAAGGGGCAGAAGCGTGTGTTCATTCTTTATTTCTCCCCTCGACTGCATACATGGCAATTTTGCCCCCTCATGACAACTTTCCCGTCATTTTTTTTTAGATATAGCTATCTTTTTTTTTATTTCTTACATACATGACTATAGTGGCGTGCATTATGATCATAATTATCCATTCACAGCACAATTTTTCGTAACTCTGTAATATGTTCATGCCAAATTATGCCATTATACATACGCTCTCTCATTATTATTATTATTATTGCATTACAATTCTTAATACACCTTTATACCACAGTTTATCATATCTCTGTTTGTATATAAGATGAAGATTACCCTAGATAGGGAAGCGGGGTGGGAGGGAAATAGAGGGAGAGGGGGAATAGCATGGATGTGGGAAGGAGACCCTCATTACACAAAGTACATGTATGAAGATGTGAATTTGGTGTCAACTTTCCAGGCATTTGCTGACAGAACCTACAGTCGGGCTGCCCTTGCTTCCTGAGGCCTGCATGAAGGATGCAGTTTCACTTGCAGTTGTGGCAATTCCTTGGCCTTTCTCCACTAGCAACTGCGTCCTGTGAGTTGGAACAGTTTCGCCCCCCCCCCTTCCTCTCTCTGCCTCTTATTTATTTTCCTTGACGTGTTGTACTGCACAGAACCCCCAGTGTGGTGTTGAGCAGCAGTACTGGGAAGAAGTCCCTGCCCTGCTCCCAGGGGTGGGACGCTCTTCTGTCTCCACGTCAAGTGTGACTCAGCTTGTGCCAGAGTTGCCTGGGCCAGAATAAGGAAGCTCCCTTCTCCTTTGCTGAGTTTCTATTTGTTCTTACCATGAGTTAATCTTGGATTCTATGAACTGATTTTCTTTTCTTTTTTTAGCTGCAGAGGGACACAATATCTTTATTTTATTTATTTATTTTTATGTGGTGCTGAGGATCAAACCCAGAGCGTTACACATGCTAGGCAAGTGCTCTACCACGGATCCCCAACCCCAGCCCCTTGTCAACTGCTTTTCTGCATGTATTATGTTAGTCATATATTTCTTCTTTATTCTGTTAAATTGTTAAACCAAGAATTCTTGATACCAATGGATTTCTAATCTAATAGGGTTTATTTGGATTCTAACAGCTCCTAGCCAGGAAAAGGAACAGGTTCCTGTAACTACCAGCAGCAGGACTAGGTTCACCAGACCAGAGCTAAGATAATTTTTTAGATGATGAACATCTGGAGAAGGCAGGCACAGTTGTTTGCCTGGACCCTCTGTAGGCTGCAGACAAGCAAGGCAGACTACATGCACTAGAGAAAGCTCCAAGGCAGAGGGCAGTTGGTCAAGGCTGCTCTCGGTGCTTCTGGGCTGGTTGGGGATCTAGCAGGATGGAGAGGTGTGGAGAGCCACCAGGGGCTTCGGGGAAGGTTTGCACACACATTCTGGATGTGAAGCAGCCTTGCTTTCACCCCTGGCTTGATTAACCTCCTCCATCTCTCCTTCCTTCCGGTTTTTTTTGTTTTTAACTATGAGTGAAATTCTGAGTCTGTTTAGCAAGGCTCAGGAGGCAAGGTCAATGCGTCTGCATGTTCTATTTAGTGCCTGCATGTTAAATGGTGCTCAGCCAGTGAACCGCAATCCCCAGCCATTTTTTAAAATTTTTGTATTTTATTTAGAGACAGGGTCTTGCTAAGTTGCTGAGGCTGATTTGAACTTGTGATGCTCCTGCCTCAGCCTCCCAAGCCTCTGAGATTATAGGTGTGCACCACCATGCCCAGCTGCCCTCTAGTCTTAATTAAATTCAAAACATGCCAGAATTTTTAATTTATCAATATGGTAGATCACTTTATTTTTAAAAAAATTATCATGGCCTTAAATTGCTGGGATAAACCCCATGTGGTGGTGATATGTGGTTTACATGTCGATGGACTTGATTCACTATTGTTTAGTGAAGACTTCTGCATGTTCATGAGGGCTATTGGCAGGCTGCATTCTTTCCTAGTATTATAGCTTAGATCTTAAATGACCCCCAAAAGCCATGTGGTAAAGGCTTGGCTGCCAACCTGGGGTCTGTTGGGAGGAAGGCAGATCTTGCCCTTGAAGGGGACACTGGGACATCCACCCTTGTGCTCATGCGTGCACTCGTTTCTCTCTCTCTCTCTCTCTCTCTCTCTCTCTCTCTCTCTCTCTCTCTCTCTCTCTCTCTCTCTCGACAGGAGGTAAGCCACTTCCTTTGTCTTGTGCTCACCAAGATGTGCTGGGCCACCATGGGCTCCAAAACAACACAGTAAAGCATAAACTAAAAGCTGGGAAACTGAGCCAAATTAACCTTTACCCTTTGATGTTAATTTTCTCAAGTATTTTGTCATAGCAACAGAAACCTGACTGACACATTTGCAATGTCTTCTATTATTACAAGGTTCGATGTGAGGGTTATTCTGGCCTCATAAAGTAAGTGGGAAAACATCCCCTCCCCCTCTATTTTCTCAAAGGGTTTTCAATAAAATTCTTCCTTAAATACTTTGTAGAATTTACTTGTGAAACTATCTGAACCTGAAGTTTTCTTTGTGGAGATATTTTTGGTATTTGGTAACTGCCGTTGTTATGCTCGAATCCGGGACCCCCAAAGACCACCAGAGACCCAAGATCGATGTAAGCAGCAAAGAGGTATTTATTGAGAGCTAGCTCGGTCCTCCGCGCGCACACACAGCAACTGGTGACGCTGAGAGGCCCCAGCCCAGGGTTTGCAGCAGTTTTATACATTCTTTGGAGAGGGCAGGGACTTCACATACATCATAGCAAATCATCACACACTGCAGGAAAATCAAATAACAACTCTAAAACATGATTAGCACATTCACTGGCGGGAACAAGTTAGGTAGGGGTGATTGGTCAGTACAAAAGGGGTATTCATTTGAACTGATTGGTTTAAGCCAAGAGGGGAGGACGTGCTGAACTACATGGTTTCCCAACACGTTATCAACCACCATAAACTACTGGGAGGGTCATCTGGCATCCCAGGTATTTCCCTGTCTCATGCTGTTTGGTGGCTGCTAGGGGGCTGCTATGGGTCCCCACCTAGCCTGACTGAGTCAGGGACACCTGGCGCAGCAGATCTCTCCTGTTATTTGTAGCTAAACCACTCAGCAGGGTGGGAATGTGCCTAGGAGTGCTCTGTGGGTCTTTCCAAGGACAAAGGTGATGTCCCTTCCTTGGACAGGCTTTGCTCTGAGATAGAGGCTGGTTTTTCACTGTATTAAGATTTTCTGGGGCTGGGGATGTGGCTCAAGCGGTAGTGCGCTCACCTGGCATGCGTGCGGCCCGGGTTCGATCCTCAGCACCACATACAAACAAAGATGTTGTGTCTGCCTAAAACTAAAAAAAAATAAATAAATATTAAAATTTAAAAAAAAAAATTTCTACTTGATCTTGTGTCAATTTTGGTAAATTGGTTTTTTGGGGTTTTGTTTGGGGTTTTTTTGGTTACCAAGGATTGAACTCAGGAGCACTTGATCACTGAGCCACATCCCCAGCCCAGTTGCTTAGTGCTTCTCCATTGCTGAGACTGGCTTTGAACTCGGGATCCTCCTGCCTCAGCCTTCCTAGCCACTGGCATTACAGGCATGCACCACTGTACCTGGTGGTGTAAATTGTATTTGTGTGTGTGTGTGTGTGTGTGTAAATTGTATTTTTACATTTTATCCAAATTGACATGTTTTTTTCATAATATCTCCATATCTTTTTTTTTTTTTTTGAGAGAGAGAGAGAGAGTGAGAGAGTGAATTTTAATATTTCTCTTTTTTTAGTTGTTTTTATTTTCGGCGGACACAACATCTTTGTTTGTATGCGGTGCTGAGGATCCAACCCGGGCCGCATGCATGCCAGGCAAGCGCACTACCACTTGAGCCACATCCCCAGCCCCAATCTCCATATCTTTTTGATGCTGCCTGTAGGATTTGTTTGGGTCTCTTGTTTATTCTAATTCTGGTATTTTCTCTGTCTGTTCCCCTACTCATCTTCATTGATTTTTCTGGGGGCTAATCTTTTCAAAGAATCAACTTTTCTCTTATCTATCTTATTCACTATTTTATTTATTTTTACTATTAACCTTATTCCTATTTTCTCCTTACTTTGATTTGTTTTTTCTGCCTTCTTAAACTTAGTCCCCCTTTCCAATAAGATCATTTAAAACTGCCCACTTCCCCATCTATGGGGTGGGAGGACACCTGTATCTCCTCTTACTGCACTCTCACGACACAGCACATATCTTCACCACTCCTTGAGATTCTCACACATTCAGTGATTCTCCAGTGGACACCAACTGAATACTTCATAGCCCCATTCAATTCTGACACTGCCCTGGAAGTCAAAAAAATACCTATGAAAGCACCTTTGAAAGAGCTTTCAGAATGGGAAGAAGGTACTCAGGACTCAGCTGCTGTGTGCAGCAGGAGCCAGGTCACCTCTGCTTGGATCACAGGCTTTAGAGCAACCAGGAAAAGCAGACAGGTAAGGCCCGAAAGGTCACGGGCTGCTGTTTCTGGTCATTTCCATTCTGTCTGTACTTTCTTTATTTTCAGTTGGTGGGCTGCACAGCCCTGTCCTTCTCGGCCTTCAGTAGCCCATGTAAGCTCCCACCCAGAAGGTTGCCCTCCTCAGAATGACGGCTCAGAGTCTCCCAAGACCCCACATAAGGTCTGTTTTAATTCCACAGTACCTGAATTCAGAGCCGTATTGCCTCCCTGGGACAATCCAGTCCCACAGTGGAGGGCTCCCTCCCGTAGGACTGCACCCACTCAGATACCAGGCAGCCCCACTGTGACTGTGCTTCCCCCTGGCTCTGGATCCAGGCTCCCATGACCTCCTCCTGGTGTGTGATAATTAGCTAGGGTGGCTCACAGTCCACCTACACTCTGGTTTGTTATAAAGGTCATTATTAAGAATGCAAACAAACAGTCAGATGAAGTGAAGGCAAGGGGAAGAGGGCACAGAGCCCCATGCCTATTCTGGTGGTCGGGTACTCAGACCTCATCCTTGTCTCTCCAGAGCTCTTGCAGAGCTGCACCCCCAGCCCCTCTTACCTGAGGCCAGAGGGTAAGGTTGAAAGTTCCAACCCTCTAAACTCTTGGTCTTCTGACCAGACCCATCCTGAAACTATCTAGTGGCCCTACCCTAAGTCACCTTGTTAGTGAACAAAGAGCTTAGAACAAGGCAGTCACATCATAAGGATGTCCCTTGGGTTTAGGATCACAAGGGCTTAGAACAAGACAATCATATCAATAAGGATATTTCTTGGTTTAGGATCAGAGGGGATTAGGACAAAGATAATCACATTGATAAGGACATCTCATGGATTTAGGATCAGAAAGGCTAAGAACAAGACAATCACATTCATAAGAACATTCCTAGAGTTTTAAGGAATAGGTAAAAGGAACTTAGACTAAATATATCTCATATTTCACATTTTTCATTATGCAGTTAAAAATACTTCCTGATGTCCTTTATGACCTGGCACTTGATCTCTCTTAATGGACATTCTCTGTGCGGTCATTGTTTGCTGTAATGTCACGTAATTCCCAATTAGGCAAAAGGTATCCATCCCAAACTCATTCACCATCTCCACACAATACGTAATCACTACTCCATCTCATACACACTGACAATCTCCATCCCCCACACACACACCTCCAACCATTCTTGCACCAAATCCATCCTATCCTATACACATTCATCATCTTCATCTCATACACACTGAACATCTCCATCCAGTGGGAGACCAACCTCGCACGTGACTGAGTGAACTCCTCTGCTGGGCCATGCGGTGTCAGGCACCCATGCTGCTAGACTGCCCGGCTCTTCTAGGGTTCCAGTGACTGTCTTCTTTGTGCCTGGGCGTGGCTTCCTACAGCCCCATGGGTGGAGCTATGCTCACCTGTTCTTTTGTGATATAACCCCTTGTCCTGTTTAGGACAGAATGTTCCATGGAAGTGCCTTGTGTATGACCCCTTCTCTTGCTTTGCCCTTGGGTGTGGCCTACCTAGGTGTCAGTCAACCTGCTGACAGTGGACATCATGAAGATAGACTCAGCCCCCTGAAACCTGACACCTTGCCTCATTTGAATAGCTTCTCCTCAATAAAAGGGGTCAGCACATGCGGGCTCTCTCTCTGTCTTCCTGCCGATGCTTAAGATCAGAGGAGCCTTCACAGCGACCCCAAAGAAAAAGGAATTTGTGTCTTGTGTGGTTATTTTGCACAGCCCAATTAGCTCAGTTTACTGGAGTGACCCTTGAGCCTTTTAGTCTCGAACAGAAACCCGGCACCATCCCACACACATAACATCACACTCTCACACATACTGATCATCTTCATGCAATACACACTCACCATCTCCATCTCCACCCCATACACACACAAGTTCTCTACCCTATACAAACTCATGATCTCCATTCCATACACACTCACCACCTCCATCCCATACATACTCATCTCCATCAAATACACACTATCTCCAGCCCATCTGTGCACACACACACACACACACACAGCTTCTCTCCATCCAAGCACATGATCCATCACCCTCCACATTCTTCTCCAGGCTGCATGCAGTTGTGCACACCAGGTAGGCTGAGGCAGAAAGATCACAATTTCAAAATCAGCTTCTGCAATTTAGGAAAGCCCCAAGCAACTTGGTAAGATCCTCTGTCAGACTATAAATAACAAGGTCTATGGCTGTAGCTCAGTGGTAAAGTGCTCCTGGTTTCTATCTCAGCACCCGCACATGCACACCCACACCCACACCCACACATATGCTAATCTTCTCCAAGCGGTTTCTCCTATTTCTGCTCACTTCTGTCAGCCACAGCCTACAGCCCCCCAGATAACTCATTCCCCCATGAACAAGGCTCACTCTTCCCTGGGTTTTCCATGCTGAGACTTGACAGTAGTTTATTTTGCTGACAGAGTTCCATCTTTCTTGGGTCTGCAAGGCTTCCAGTCAGGGGCTGGTGTCTCCAGAAAGGGGCATGAGTTCTCCCAGCTCAGGCTTCAGACACAGGGCACCCCCTCCTTCCTCCTCATGGCCTGATGCTGGAGTAGGTTCACCAAGGCTGAGACTCACACCTGTGCCATCCACAGCCTCCACCAAGTCCTCAGCGCAGCCCACTCATGACCAGGGGTGAGGTCCTTGGCTGCTGCCAGAGAGATGCTCCTAGACCAGCTGTTTCCCCAGGAAGCTCCAGAGGAGGAGCAGGAGCCTGCAGGCTGGGAGTGAGGAGGGTGCACTAGAAGGCCAGGAAAGGAACACTAGCCCGAGTCACTCACCTCCCTGTGCAGCGCCCTCTCCAGCAGCAGAAGAGGTGGGCAATGCTTTTGGAAAGACTGGCCTGCTGCCCTGGAGGCAGATGCCCTGAAGAGCTGCTGTGGGGCTGAAAGGCTGTGTGCTGGTTCAGAAAGGGGCCAAGAGGCCAGAGGACAGGCAGCAAGGCGGCCCCAGCTGAGGTTGAGTGCTCCCTGGGGGCAGCCACTGCCTGGTTGGCCTGGGCAGCTATAGCCCAATGTGTGCTGAGTCACTACTGGTAGAAGCCCTTCCTTTTTCACAGTGTCAGAGGATAAATCATGTACTGATTGTCCTCAATTTCCAATCGACAACATCCCAACGGACTCATTCAGTGAACCTACCTACACCTGGTTCCCTGAACTTCATACTGTGTTGGTTCCCTTTCTCTGTGTTCACCGAAGGCTGGAAAGAGAATGGCACCCCGTGTCACCAGCCTGAGAAGAGATTGAAATTCAAAGTGTGTGTTTCTACCAAAGGAGTGTCTGTTCTGTACAATCATAAAGTTAAAACTTGCTAAGTCCAACCAGTGTTTAAGTAGAGACCATCTGTAGTCACCCCACTGAAGAGAAAAGGACCTCCGTCATAGAGGGCTCCCTGCCCAGCATCCATAGGAAAACCCAAGGGAGCAGCCTAGCCAGCACCACGGCTCTCAGGGATCCGCTTAACTCTAAACCAACATCCAGGCAGAGGTGGGGAATGGAAGGAACCCGGAAGAAACTGAGAAAATGAAGACAAAGGAAACTTTCTAGAAACCTGTAGTGAATATCCTCAGAGACACCAGAAGGGTAAGGTTTCTTATAAAAGGGCCATTTAGAAAGCAAAACAGAATTTTTTTAATATGTATTTTTTAGTTGTAGTTGGACACAATACCTTTATATTATTTATTTATTTTTATGTGGCGTTGAGGATCGAACCCAGGGCCTCGCACGTGCTAGGCGAGCGCTCTACCGCTGAGCCACAACCCCAGCCCTGCAAAACAGAATTTGTTGTTAATCCAAAATATAACCCGGCATGGTAGTGCATGCCTGTAATCCCAGCTACTAGGAGGCTGAGGCAGGAGGCCAGCCTCAGCAATTTAGCTATACCCTATCTCAAAATAAAAGTTAAAAAGAACTGGAGTGTAGCTCAGTGATAGAGCACTTGCCTGGCATGTGCAAGGCCCTGGGTTCCATCCCTAGCACCACACACACCTAACAGTTAACAAAAGGATTGGAATATAAAGGTGTAAAATGTCCTATAGTGTTCAGCAACTTTCTGTTACTATAATAACTAACTAAAATAATCAACTTATCCAGAGAAAAAAATTCCTTTTATTTTAGCTCACAGTTTTGCAAGTTTCAGTCCATGATCAGTTGACCCATATCTTTGGGTCTGTGACCCGGCTCCACGTCCTGGAGCAGGAGTGACTGCCAAGCAAAACCCCCACCTCATGGCAGGAATAAGAAGAGCAAGGAGGGGGCTGGGGTTCTAGAGTCCTCATCCACGACACATCCCCATGACCTGAAGACATTTCACGAGGTCCACTTCTTAAAGGCTCCTCCACTTCCAGCAGAACTCCTCGGGGATCAAGCCTCTAACACTTGGACTTTTGGGGACATTCATGATCCAAACTGTAGCACTCTGCCCCGGCCCCCAAAGTCTGGTGTCCATCTCACCATGCAAACTCACCCAGCTCGCGCTCTGGGGCCCCCAAAGTCTTGACTGTTCCAGCACTGTCCCAAGTCCCAAGTTCACAGTCTCCCCTGAGACTCAAGACACACTCAGCTGTGAGCTCTGTAAAGGTCAAAAAAGAAAGTGACAAATTTACAGGACAGGATGGCAGGACAGGCACAGGTGAACATTTCCACCCCACAGGGAGGAGCTGGGGAGAAAAGAGGACTGCAGCACAGCGCGCTGGCAGCCCAGGAGGCTCTCTTCACACTCTGTACAACTGGTCTGTGTGTCCGGTTTTTATGCAGTTTTGTTACTCTATCTCTGTGGTCTAATTTGAAATCAGGTATTGTGATGTCTCCAACATTGCTTTTTTGGCTTAGAATTGCTTTGACTGTTCTGGGTCTTCTCTTCTTCCAAATATATTTAAAAAATTTTTAAGAATACATTTTTAGTCGTAGATGGACACAATACCTTTATTTGATTTATTTATTTTTATGTGGTGCTGAGGACAGAATCCAGTGCCTCACCCGTAGGAGGCAAGTGCTCTACCACTGAACCACAACCCCAGCCAAGGACTGCTTTTTCTAGTTCTGTGAAGAATGTCATTGATACTTTGATGGAGATTGCATTGAATCTGTCTATTGCTTTTGATTGTATGGCCATTTTAACAATATTAACTCTTCCTATCCATGAACATGGGAGGTCTTTCCATCTTCTTGTGTCTTCTTCAATTTCTTTCATGTTCTATAGTTTCCACGGTAGATGTCTTTTCACCTCTATAAAAATCTGAATAATCAGAATAAATTTGGTTAGATTTATTAGTAGGTATTTTATTTATTTCAGACTATTGTGAATGGGATTGATTTCCTGATTTCTTTCTCAGTAGATTCATTATTGGTGAATCTATTTGGCTATTGAGTTTTTAACATGGATTTTTTAATCTGATACTTTGCTGAAGTTATTTATTAGCTCTAGCAGTCTTTGGTGGAGCCTTTTGGATTTTGTAAGAATAGAATCATATCATCTGCAAACAGCAATAATTTGATTTCTAACCTTTCCTATCTTCATCATTATTATTTCCTTTTCTTGAATAATTTCTCTGGCTAGAATTTCTACCACTATATTGAATAGGAGTAGTAAGAGCAGATATTCTTGTCTTGTTCCTGCTTTTATTTTTTATTTATTTACATAATTAATATATTTATTTATTTATTTATTTGTTGGTACTATGATTTGGACCCAGGGGTGCTTAACCACTGAGCCACATCCTATGTCCATTTTTTGAAGTTTTTGAAATAGAATTGATTAGAACCTTGCTAAGTTGCTGACTCTGGCTTTAATCTTGCGCTCCTCCTGCCTCAGCCTCCCAAGCTCCTGGAATTACAGGCATGTGCCATTGTGCCTGGCTGTTGCAGATTTTCAAAAAATGCTCTCAGATTTTCCCCATGCACTGTAATGTTGGCTTTGAGTTTTTCATATATAGCCTTTATGATATTAAGATATATTAATATCTTAATACATAATAATATTAAGATATATCATTTATTCAGTAGGGCAGGCTGAACAAATGTTAGTTTCAGGGTGGGCTGAATACCAGACCCTCACCTGTCTGGTTCCTAATTACTTGTTTGCCTCAAGGCTGAACACTCAACCCCACTCAAGGCTGAACACTCGATCCCCACCCATCTAGTGAAACAGAAACTCACATCTGATCCCTGCCCAGTCTGCCTAAAGGCAGAAGACACACCCTTAGCAACTACTGTGTGATCCAATCACTGTATGCTAACAAGGCAGCTTTCAGACCCAGAGACCCCATTAGATTTTGGCTATAAAAACTCTCTCCTGCTGCACCCCCACACACTTTCTCTCCCTCCCCCCCCCAGTTTGCTCGCTCTCTCTCTCTCTCTCTCTCCTTCTCTCTTTCTCTCTCTCTCTTTTCTCTTTCTGCCCTGTTAATCAGACACCACCACAATAAAGACCTCTTGGTTGCTCCGAGTGTCGTGGTCACTTTCCTTTCACTTTCCTTTCACCTTCTACTCCTAGATTCTTCAGTGTTTTTATCATTAATAGGTGCTGAATTTTTGTCAAGGCTTTCTCTGCTTCTATTGAGATCACTAAGTGATTTTTGTCTTTAAGTCTAGTTGTGTGATGTTGGGAGCTGCCCTGGATGCAAATGCCCTTAAGTCCTGAAGCACCAGGTTCTGACCAATAATTGCCTGGTCTGGCACAGCAGTGCCAGGTAGTAGTAACTTGGGCATTACCCCACTCAGATAATGAAGCATGACTTCAGATATAGGTGTCACCCGCGGGGGGGGCGGGGGGGGGGGCGTTGAGTTCCACTCACCCAATAAAAGGGTTCAGCACATGCTCCTTGTTCTCTTTCTTGCCTGTCTTCCCCCATTTGTGGGAGCTATAGCTGAGGAGCCATCACTGAACCCAAAGAAAAGGTACTTTCTGGTTCTGTGTCTTTATTTATTCCCCAAATTCACTTGGAGTTGCCCTGACTGGTTTAGTCCTGAGATGCGACAGTGTAATGAATTACATTTATTGATTTGCATGTGTTAAACCATTATTGCATCCCCGGGATAAAAAGAATTTGGTCATGATGTACAATCTTCTTAATATGCTATTGAATACAATTTGCTAATTTTATTAAGGATTTTTGCATCTAAGTTCTTCAGTGATATTGGTCTGTGATTTTCTTTCCTTGATATGTCCTTATCTGTTTTTGGTATGAGCATGATACTGGCCTCATAGAATGAATTTGGAAATGTTCCATCCCTCTTTCATGGAATAATTTGAGGAGTATTGGTGTTAATTCTTCTTTAAAGGTCTGATAGAATTCAGGTAGGAATGCATCTGGTTCTGGGCTTTACTTGTTGGAAGACTTTTTATTAGAGCTTCTATCTCATTGTTAGTTGTTGATCTATTTAGATTTCCTAAATTTTGATTCAAATTTGGCAGGTCACATGTTTCTAAAAATGTGTCCATTTATTCTAGATTTTCCTATTTATTGGATTATAAGTCTTCAAAATAGTCAATGATGATCCTCTGAATTTCTGTAATGTCTGTGGTGATTTCTCCTTTTTCATCTCTAATTTTATTAATTTGTGTTTTCTATTTATTTTGATTTGTTTGACTAAGCTTATCAATTTTGTTTATCTTTTCAAAGAACCAACTCTTCATTTCATTGATTCTTTGTATTTTTTATTCTCTATTTCATGGATTTTGGCTCTGATCTCAATTTTTTTCCTTTCTTTTACTGGTTTTGGAATAGGTTTGTCATTGTTATTCAAATATTTTGAGATTCATAATTAGATTGTTTATTTTGTCTCTTTCTGATTTTATTATGTAGGCACTCATAACTATAAACTTTCCTCTTAGAACAACCATCTTAGTGTCCCAGAAGTTCTGCTATGTTGTATCACTATTTTTATTTGATTCTAAGAATCTTTTCATTTCTCTCCTTATTTATTCTGTCATCTGTATTTTTCAATCTCCATGTTTTTATATAATTTCTTTGGGGGTTTTTGGTGTTCATTTCTAATTTTGTTCCATTATAATATGATAAGATGCAATGAATTATATAATTTTTTTGTATTTGCTAAGAGTTGCTTTGTGTCCTGAAACATAGTCTATTTTTGAGAATGTTTTATGAGCCACTGAGAAAACAGTATATTCAGCTGTTTTGGGATGAACTATTCTATAGATACCTGTTAAATCCATTTGATTTATATGGAATTATATTTATATTTTTCAGGTCCAAAGAACCTTTACTGAATTTATGACTGGATGACCTATCTACTGGTGAAAGAGGTGTGTTTAAATCACCCAGTATTTTTTTTACTGTACTGGGAATTATTTGAGTCTTTAATTCAAGTTGTGTCTGTTCTATGCAATTAAGTGCACCAACATTTGGGGCATAAATATTTACTATCATTATACCTGAATTTTCCCTTCACTGGCATTAAGTGACCTTCTTTGTCTCTTCTGAATAACTTTGGCTTGAAGTATGCTTTGTCAGTGTTCTAATTTAGATGTGAGGTGTCCCCCAAAAGCTCCTGTGAGACAATGCAAGAAGGTTTGGAGGAGAAATTATTGTGTTACAAGAGCTTTACCCACCCTGGGTTCAATCTCCAGCGAAAGAAAGAAAGAAAGAAAGAGAGAGAGAGAGAAAGGAAGGAAGGAAGGAAGGAAGGAAGGAAGGAAGGAAGGAAGAAAGGAAGGCGGCCTGGGGATGTGGCTCAAGTGGTAGAGTGCTCGCCTGGCATGTGCGGGGCACTGGGTTCGATCCTCAGCACCACATACAAATAAAATAAAGATGTTGTGTCCACTGAAAAAAATGAAAAATAATTATTAAAAAATTCTCTCTCTCTCTCTCTCTCTCTCTCTCTCTCTCTCTCTCTCTCTCTTAAAAAAAAAAGAAAGAGAGAAAGAAAGAAAGAAGGCTGGGGATATAGCTCAGTTGGTAGAGTGCTTGCCTTGCCTTAATAAGGCCCTGGGTTCAATCCCCAGCACCATAAAAACAAACAAGAGCCTTGCCTTACCTAAACTGAATTAATGCCCTGACAGGATTAATTGAGTGGTAACTGATGGTAGTTAGGGTGTGGCTGGAGGAGGTAGGTCAAAGGGTGTGCCTTTGGAGTATATATTTTGCATCTGGTAAGTAGAGTCAGTCCACTGAAAAAAATGAAAAATAATTATTAAAAAATTCTCTCTCTCTCTCTCTCTCTCTCTCTCTCTCTCTCTCTCTCTCTCTCTCTCTCCTTTCTGCTCAGCATGTGAGCTGCTTCCCTCTACCACATTCTTCCACAATGATGTTCTGCCTTACCTCGAGCCCTAAGAAATGGAGCCAGCCGTCTATGGACTGAGACCTCTGAAACCATGAGCCCCTAAATAAACTTTTCCTCCTGTGAAATTGTTCCTGTCAGGTCTTTTGGTCATGGCAGTGAAAAAGATGACCAAAATAGTAAAATATGAGCGTAACAACTCCTGCTTGTTTGCAGGCTTCATTTGCAAGATATATCAATTTCCACCCTCTCACTTTCAGCCCAAGGCTCTCTTTGCCTATAAGGTAACAATATATAGTTGTTGTATTCCATTCTTCCAGCCTATGTTGATTAATTGAAGAGTTCAGACCACCATGGCACACCATCTCAGGTGTGGTGTGGGGTCACAGGCACAGTAAGAGAAAAGGCATATTTGCATTACACCGCCCAATCAGTGTGCAACGCCACACAGTCCCCTCATATGCTCAGATGCACATAGCTCACACCACAACCCATGGACGGCTCGCAACACTCAAGGTTTGGAAATTTTCCAAAAGAGGTTATTTATGCCATTTGCCTACATCTCACACTCCTCTTCAATTCCAATGATTTTTAAATTTGGTCTCTTAATATTGTCCTAGAGTTCTTCTGGTCATGGTTCTTATTTTCTTTTCTTCAGTACTGTCTGAATGTTCAAGGCCAGCCACTTTGTCTTCCAGCTCTGAGATTCTGTTGATCTACTCTATTAGATTTTCAACTGAACTTTTTGTTTGATTTACTGTGTCTTTAATTTCTAAGAATTCTGTTTGGTTATTTTCAATATCTCTATCTCCTTATTAAATTTCTCATTCATATTCTGTACTAACTTCCTTAATTCATTCAGTTGTTCTGTGTTCTCTTGGAGTTCCTTGATAATTTTTACAATCATTCTTTCAAATTCTTTCTCTGATATTTTTTCCACTTCAATATCTTTAGTCAGTTTCTGGTCAATTATAAACTTTAGGAGGCACCATTTTA